GCCTTGGCAGTCTCAGGCCGTGGTGCCGCCCAAGGCGGAAGCGGCTCCCGGACGGAACCGGCTCGCGGGTGCAGCGATGGCTGCTGGCGTCCCCTGCGCGCTTGTCACCAGCTGCTCCTCCACCTTCTCCGCAGACCGGCTGGTCCAACGTGAGTAGCGAGGCGTCCGGGCCCACCTCCAAGCCCCGCTCCGAGCCTCGGCGGGCGACAGTCCCAGCATCGCCGCCTCCGTCGGGGCCTCTGTCCCCGCCGCGGGCCCCGGACTCTTCTCTCGGTGGTGGTCCGAGGCCCCTGGGGTGCCCCGCACACGCGGTCGAGGTGCCCAGTCCCCCGGGTGTCCACCCCTAGCTCCTACACTCGTTGCTTCTCTGGTTTCTCGGCCCACCGTTGCGTTTCTTCCAGCATGTTCTGTAAAGTGGGACTAATCGCTCCTCCACCCAGCCCGGGGCTCGTTGTGGGCAACCTTTGAGGTGAACCGAAAAGGCGCTCTGGAAACTGTACGGAGGCCCGCGAGTGTCAGGTGCAGGAATCGTGGTTTATGTTCCCAGCCCTGCTCCTGAAGTGAAGAGTGTGGTTCTTGGCCACCCCTCGATGTGTGTACTAAAAGGCTAAGTTAGCCTTGTACCCTCCACCCCGCAGTTATTCACAGCCGTGCCTTCCTCCTGAGGCTACGCCCTCCGTCAGCGAGTTTTTGGTTATTACTGGGCCCAGTCTCTCTGACTCTGGACCTTCATCGTGGTTGCAAATGAAGGTTAAGATTACCTCAAACGAAGTAACTCTTGAAAGAACCATAGGCGGGCGAGGAGACCAGCGTAGAAGACAGAGAATAGGACTGAGTCATAGGCTCAACTCCTCCACTAAAGGACTCTACGAAGTTGATTGTAACTCGGGACTCCTGTTTTAAATGCGTGGCTTTGAGTCAGAGCTGGGATGCTCAGCTGTAACGTAGTAAGCACACTTAACCTCTGCCCTTTAGTTTTCTTATCTGAGAAATGGTGATAATTTTCACAGGATTGTTGTGCTTAACCCAGAGTAAACAGTCGATAAGTGGTACATACTGTTACTGAAGCACATTGTCTCTCTAAGCCCTCAGTTTCCCAATCCTGAAAGTGGGTCACATGAACCTATCTCACAGGATTCTTTGAAGGATAGGCGATGTGACGTTTTGAAAGCATTTTGTAAACTGTAAAGCATCATGGAAACTGTAACTTCTCCCTGTCATTTTTTCAAATGACAGTTAGGCAGGATGTCCCTCCGGCACAAATACTCTATAACTTAGTTATCATTTGTGATCACTTAAAAAGTTCCTTGCCAGGGTAGAAGTTACTTGCAACACTTACCAAGTGCTCTGATTATGTCATTTCTTACCTCTGAGCAGTGCCCCTTTCTTTTTTTTTTTTTTTTTTGTTGTTGTTTCATTGTAAAAGTAGTGCATACTCCATTAAGTAGAATTTAACATATGGAGAAAAGAAGATGTTGGCCCTGGTCTTATCAGCCAAGCACAAATACTGTGTTAACATTTCTGTGCATTTCCTTCCAGCTTTTTTTTCCAAGGTGTAGGTTTTTAAAACTTCGTAACTGCATTTCATATGTAATTTTTATCCTGATTTTTAATATATAACTTTAAAATATATTACTATATTTTAATATATTGTATTTTTGTTACATATAACAACATAATTTAACATATTTTAATGTTATATTTAAAAATTTAAAATACTGTATCTTAAATATTTGCATAAATATATCAAATATATTTGTATATCTGACATACAATATTTCATAAATAATTTTTCTCTTGCTGTTTTTCATTTACCATTACATCATAAGTTAGTTTCCCTCAAATATTACATCTAGTGAACATATCAATATTTACTCAGAATTCTTAAGATTCTTGGTGTATTTAACTGTCCAAAAGAATTATATGCATAACTGATATATGAAAGTCCTTTCAAAGCCAGTCTCAGAGATGTTTAAGTTTTCTTATGGCTGTCATGTGCTTTAAGGATCGGAATTGGCAGACACGGTCACTTCCTTGATGGAGCTGATTACCTGTGGTTAATGAACAGTACCACTGTACTTTGAAGTAGATTAGCATGATTGGGAGTAAGATTAATTCTGTAAAATAATCCACTTTATTTCTATTCATAAAATGCCTCTTGGATAACTTTTGTGGTGGTTGAAATTCGATGACCTTTCTTTTGTGACTTCATGTGATGTGGTGAAAAATAAGAGCAGCCAGTGAAGAGATTACTTGAGTGAGAAAAAGTGAACTATAAAAGAGGGCTTTCGTCATTTCTTCCAGGTTTACAGGCAGGGTAACCACGGATAGCTTTAGAATGTGGTATTTGCTGAGCATTCATTCTGTTTTATCTTAAAGATTGAATTAATCACAAATCAAGTCTAATTTTGGCATAAAAGATAAAGATTACTATAATGAATGATTTTAAGTGTTCAGTGACATTAAGCCATAGTCAGATTTTGGATTGAGTCTAATTTACCCTTTTGGGAAGGTTTGGTTTCCTTCCATATGTCAGGAAGAAGAACCTTTAGGGTTTCTCCAGTTTCTCTTTCCTTCAACTTATGATCTATTTTACCGCTTTTAACCAACAGCAGGAAATATTTCATAACCAAGAAGCCAAGTTTATTCATAAACTTGAAATAAAAATCAGTAGGCCTCTACTATGGATAAAGTGTATGTGTGAACTTTGTAAGAAATTTTTCATCTTTGTCACTCAGAGGGCTTATCTGCAGTATTGTGGGTAGATGTCTGACTTTAGATAAATGGGGCATTACCAGTGTAGCCTTTTAAAGGGACGTGAAGGCTCAGGATGCTTGTGCAAGGCTGTATGTGGTGTGACAGCAAGTGTTCGTACCCCCAGGCCAGATCGCCCTCACATATGTTTATATGAATGAACATTTTACTTGCATTCTCAAAAAGTATATTCTGATATTAAGAACAGAGCTGGTCTCTTTGCCAGTTACAGTACCCAGAATGACCACTAAGATACCATTCCTCCCTTCAAGAAGAGTGTAGTGAAATTGTGTGCTTTACTTGTGAAAATATTAAAATGTAGATAACCTCGCTTTTAAGATCTTACTCTTCTTTTCCTAGAAGGAGCCTTAGATAGAAAAATCCCGTTTGGTTTTAATATGTGTAATGCTAACGTAGCAACCATCAGCCGTTTAGGTTCTATACCTGAACATTTGGAGCAGACTTTTTTTTCTTTTAGTGAAATGTGGGGATCTGGAGATATTATAATCATAACAAGCATTTATATGTATGTCAGCTCTCTTCCCAAACATGTTTTCGCATAATTCATTTTGGTCCCTGTATCCCTGTGCTTTCGTGAAGTCAGGTTTTCCGCCATCTGTAAATGGAGAAACTGTGGCTTGGCAGCACTAGGTGGGTTGCCCAAAGTGCTCAGCTGACAAGTGCTGGAGCATATGCTCACCTTCGGGATTCGTGTGCACGGACCGTGTGAATGAAACCTGTTGGAATTCCTTAGCAGTCACAGACAACTATTTAAATTTAAGGTGATGGTGTTGGTTCTAAAAGAAGATTTTAAAATATGCTTGCATTTCCGTTTAGAGTGGTTGAGGTCTTAATTCTGAATGAAGAAAAAAAGAAATCCCTGTCCACAAGACCTGTATTGTAAAATGAGCATTTGCATGGCTGACAGCGTCTGCATTATTTTCTCTCGACTGGACTCAAAGTAGAGACGTTTTATTTATATATATATTTACATCTATCTATCTGTCTGTCTGTCTGTCTATCTATCTATCTAAAAGTCACTCCTGCATAGAATTAACATCAAAAATGAAAGATTGCTCTAGATCATCTCTAACATCCCTTCTAGATGTAAAATTCTGTTATCACTTACTTATTTTTATGTTACATTATATAATGCTTCTTAAATTTTCTTACATTTTTCTTTCGAAAACTGAAGAGTCAAGCCCCAGTTTCAAGTTGCGGTAGAAAGAGTCAAGCCCCAGTTTCAAGTTGCAGTAGACACTTCACTTGTAGTAGAGAATTTGACACTTTGTGTTTGGAATTCAGATGCGTTTACCCATGGAAGCAATTGCTGGTCCTCAGGTTTCTAAAAGCGCGGAACCAGGTAGCTTGGTTATATGAGTAAACCAGGCTTCAGGGAATTATACGGGCAAAGCCAGCCATCAGGATGGCGTTGCTGCTTTGGGAAACGTTCATCCTTCTGTACGACTGGGACTTTGCTTCTGGGTCAGTCAGACTCCTGTACTTACACGAAGATCTTAAAGTAATTTACTGAGGAGAACATTGTTATTTCAGAAGTAGGGGCTACTGTACAGCTCAGCCAACATTCTTGAGCAAAGGATAGAGATGAGAGCTTGGATCTTTGAATGTGCTTTACTCTGTAGCTGCTTGAGGTATTCTGAGTGGAGCCTTTTAGTTCACCCTGGGAATAAGTAAGAATTTTTGCCTAAGCAAAGTTGCTTATTTTGTTGTGGTCGGAGGACTCTGCCTTTGATGGGATTGTATATTTCCAAGTCTTTATTTTCTTCAAAGGAAGAAAGATTGGGCAGCAAGAT